CCTTGATTGTTATTGGTCTATTTAGGGTCTCGATTTCTTCTTGTTTCAACCTAGGCAGGTTGTGTGAGATCAGAAAGTCTTCCATTTCCTTAAGGTTTTCCAGTTTGTTTCCATACAAGTGTACATAGTAGTCTCTAATGATCTTTTGGATTTCCTCGGGGTCAGAAGTGACTTCATCTTTTGTGTTTCTGATTGTATTTATTTGGGCTTTTTCTCTTTTTTTCTTGGTCAGTCTAGGTAAGGGACCATCAACCTTGTTTATCCTTTCAAAGAACCAGCTTTTTTTCATTGATTTTTTTGTATTATCTTTTTGTCTTCTATGTCCTGGATTTGGGCTTTTATTTTGGTAATCTGGATTCTTCTGCTGAAGTTAGGATTTTGGTGATCTTGCTTTTCCAGCTTCCTAAGGTGGTTTGTTAGGCTGTTAATTTGTGATCCTTCCATTTTCTTCATGTGCATTTGTAGGGATATAAATTTCCCTCTTATTACAGCTTTCATGGCGTCTCAGAGATTTTGGTACGATGTCTCTTCATTTTCATTTGTTTCCAGGTTATCTTTTAATCTCTGTTTTGATTTCATTGTTGACCCAGGAGCTGTTTAGCATCATGCTGTTTAGTGTCCATCTCTTTGTGGGTTTGGGGGGAACCTTGTTGGTGTTGATGTTTATTTTTATTCCACTGTAGTCCAAGAAGGTGCATGACAAAATTTTGATCTTTTGAAATTTGTTTATGCTTGATTTATGGCCAAGTATGTGGTCAATCTTAGAGTACGTTCCATGTGGTACTGAGTAGAATGTATATTCTGTGGTTGTTGGGTGGAGTGTTTTGTAGGTATCAGTTAAGTCCATTTGGTCAAGAGTCACATTGAGGTTCCAGATCTCATTGCTGATTTTTTTGTCCTGATGGTCTGTCTAGGGTTGTGAGTGGGGTATTAAAGTCCCCAGTTATGATGGTGTTAGAGTCAATATCTTTCTTTAGTTTTCCTAGAAACTGCTTTATGAAAGTTGCGCTCCTCTGTTGGGCGCATATATGTTTAGGATAGATATTTCTTGTTGATGGAGTGAAACTTTTATCATTATGTAGTGGCCTTCTGTATCTTCTTAAGGTTTTTTTTGGGGTTTTTTTTTGAGTTGGAGTCTCACTCTGTTGTCCAGACTGGAGTGCAGTGGCTGCTGCCGGCCACCGCAGCCTCAACCTGCTGGGCTCCAGCGATCCTTCCGCCTCAGCCTTCCAAGTAGCCGGAATTACAGGCATTCGCTACTACGCCCAGCTGATTTTTTTATTTATTGTAGAGATGAGGTCTCGCTGCCCAGGCAGGTCTTGATCCCATGGGCTCAGGCAATCCACTCACCTCAGCCTCCCAAAGGCACGGGATTACAGGCTGAGCCACCGAGCCTGGCTTCTTTTTTAATTTTTGATAGCTTAAATGGTATTTTGTCTGAAATTAGGATCACAACTCCTTCTTTCTTTTGTGTTCTGTTCGCCTGAAAATTTGTTTCCCATCCTCTTACTTTGAGTCTGTGCGTGTTCTTTCTAGTGAGATGGGTCTCTTGAAGGCAGTATATTGTTGCCTGGTGATATTTTATCCATTTTGCCATTCTATGTCTTGTCAGTGGTACATTTAGTCCATTCACCTTCAGGCTAATTATTTTTTAATTATATTTGTTTTGCTCATTTGTGTTTGTTTTTTGTTTTAGTTTTTTTCTCTTTCTGTTTTTGATAACATTTTATACTTGCTTTGTTTCTGTTATTTTACTGAATTTTTTTCTTTTTCTCTATTTTTTAAACTTCCTTTTTTTTTTTTTTTTTTTTTTTTTTTTTTGAGTTGGAGTCTCACTCTGTCACCCAGACTGGAGTGCAGTGGCCGCTGCCGGCCACTGCAGCCTCAACCTGCTGGGCTCCAGCAATCCTTCCACCTCAGCCTTCCAAGTAGCTGGAATTACAGGCAAGTGCTACCATGCCCAGCTGATTTTCTGATTTACTGTGGAGATGAGGTCTCACTGCCCAGGTGGGTCTCGAACCCGCGGGCTCAGGCAATACACTCACCTCAGCCTCCCACTATTTTTGTGTGGGGAGAGTACATCAATAGGCAGGATTTGTTGGTCTGTTTGTATGATTATCTGTTTTCGTTTTTTTTAATCTTTTCAGTCTTTATGTCTCTTTTCTTTTGTTAGTTGGTACATCTGTCTGTTTTCCCTCTTACTCTTCTCTCTCTCCACCTTCATCTTGCCCCCCCCCTTTTTTCATTATTTTCCCTTTTCTTACCTTGTTTTGCTTCCAGGGAGCAAACCTATGCTCCCACTGCATGAACAGATTATAAGGCAGTGAGAAGTGGGTTCCAGGGTGCCCATACACCTGTTGGTGGATACTGGGATCTGCAGATAGATTTTAAATCACAGCTCCCACCTCAGATAAATCTCAAAAATGCAAAAACCACAGTCCAGCTTCAGAACTGAGGAAAGTCAGAGGAGCCACATAAGGAAAAATAGGAGACTGAGCAAACAGAAGTAAAAGCAACCCCTCTATCCCTGAATAATAGAATTAAAGAAGGGGGGGGGAAAGGTGGGAGGAGGAATATCTACACAAATGAAGAAAAACCAAAGGAAGAATATAGGTCTCACACAGAACCCTGGGAGGTCAGACACTGAGAAAACAGACTTTGGAATGCAAAAAATGAAGAGCCCTCAGAATGACTGGTCTCAAACTACAAACCCAGATATCAAGACATTAAAAAAGAGAATAAAAAGAATTGAGAAGAGACAAGAGGAAAATAGGAAGGAGTTGATAACTGAGATAACAGCAGTAAAGAATTCTGTGAATAAAATAAATAGCAAACTGATAAACATGGAAAGCAGAATTAACCAAACAGAAGAAAGAATCTGAGTTTGAGTGCCAAAATATAGAACTAACCAAACTATCAAAAACATAGAAAATAAGTTTAAAAAGACAGAACAAAATCTTCAAGAGATGAGCAATTATTTCAAGAGGCCAAACCTAAGAGTAATTTGACTTCCTGAGGCAGGAAGAGATACAGAGACCACCCTGGAACAAATATTCCATGAAATTATTCAAGAAAACTTCCCTCATCTCATCAGTGATGCAACCATTCAAACACAAGAGATTCAGAGAACCCCTGTAAGACAACAAATGAGACAACTAACTCCTAGACACCTAGTAATTTGCATAAACAAAGTAGGTATAAAAGAAAAAATCCTAAAGGCAGCAAGAAAAAAAGTCAGACTACCTACCAGGGAAGATCAATTAGAATAGCAGCAGATTTATCTACAGAAACACTTCAGGCAAGGAGAGCTTGGAGCCCAGTCTTCAAAGTTCTCAAAGATAAAAAATTTCAACCAAGAATAACCTTCCCAGCTAAGCTAAACTTCATCAGTGAGGGAGAGTTAAAATCTTTCCCAGACATTCAATCCCTAAGAACTTGCGCTACCTCTAAACTAACTCTACAAGAAACACTTCAGAAAGTATTAAACATAGAAGAAAGGGACTATTTACACACATACATCTCTTAATGTGTGTATGTATATTTGTTTGTATATATATATATAGATGTATGTGTGTGTGTGTGTGTGTGTATGTGTGTGTGCATATATATATATATATATATATATATATATATATACACACACACAGCTATTGACAGCCAGTCAGTCAGAGCAATGTGCAGGTCACTTGCTGTCTGGACCCACTGGGCAGGGGCCCTTGGACTCAATTGTCTGATTGACTCTGTGGGAAGCAGAAACTCCAGGATTCAAGAATACTTTGTTTGGGAGGGTCTTTTTCCAAAAGTTGTAAGTATCCCTTTGGTCTTGAGACTGGTCAAGACAGCAGAGTCATCTAGACAGAGTACCCAGACCTGGTCTCATGTGGCCCAGTGCCAAGGCAGTGCCTCATTGAAGATGTTCTAGGTTTGCCTCCGGAGGACTGCCACCAACCAGGGCCCAAGACTCCACTTCCATGTACTGTCTGACCCTTGTCATGATTGCAACAAATGTGAAAATAAATGTTGATACATTTAAAGGGAACCAAAGTGGAGGCGGGGTGGGAGGGGGTGTGGAATGGCGGGGAGCACTCCAGGAGCAGAAAGAACCTTTTCTTTTAACTTGGTGCTAAAACCTATTGCAAGCACCGTACTTAAAATGAAACAGCAAAGTTTATTCTTAAGGACAAGTTGTGGGATAACATGTACAGTATGAAGCAAATTCCATAAAAATTTTGAAAATTACATGAACTAATAAGGCTACAAATGACTAAGTATGTAAATTCATAGACAAAGATCTGATACATCTGTAAATTCATTTAAAAAGTCTGGCAGGTCTGTACACTTATGAACAAAGGTATTATATGAGTAGTTACCTCTGGGAACCGGAAAATGAGACCCAGCATAAAAATCTTAATTTTTCTATAAGAAATATTCACCCTCTGACCCTTGCGTGTCATTGTCTCCATACACCTGAATTACTCCTCACTGCACATGTCTCCAGATCTAATCTCACCTTCCAATAAGGCTTCTACACGCTTCTTACACTCTTCAGGCACTGTTATCCTAAACCAACTTAAACTTCTTCTAGGATCACTTTTTTTTCCCCCTCAGTTCAATGAACTACCCTTACAACCATCTCTATCTCCTTTGGTCCTCACTATTTCTCATAGCATCCCAGTACAAAAGAAAAGACATTTTATGTGCCTTACCTATACCACCATTTTTGTTCTTTTATTCAGGATTACCATCATGTTAAAATATTATTTTCAATGTTTAGAATCCATAACCATTCACAGAGTATGAATGAGAGAACGTCAGAACTCTCAAAGAACCTACAAAGTTTTCAGGATGGCAAAACACTTTGAAAACATAACAGTCCTGGACTACTATATTAGATTCTTTTAATTTTTTTAAATTAATTGTAGCACAGAGAAAAGAGGTAAATTGTTTAAGGAAATTTGTGTTCTTTAGACAGAGTATTGGCTTTATACCAACAGAAAAGAAAAACAGATAGATAAGCTCTGGGTCTTCATTTCTCTTCCTCTTACTTTCTCAGCAGACTGAAAAACAAAGAATATAAGTATTGTTTATTAATGACATGTATTTTGAAATCTATTAAAATGAATGCCAAATTGCTTAGATTGTCTTTCTGTGATTTCCGCCAGTGCAAACAATTTTAACCCTGCCCAGACTCACGGCAGCTAGATTCTCCTTCTGTTGGGCTAGGGGCAAGGACACACCAATAAATGTTGTGAGGTTTCTGCCTTATCATTCGTGCCATCACATTCCTCTGGCTTCATAGTCAGAAGCTTTTCATCATCATTCCCCAGAGTTATTTAATTAACACCTACTTCTCACCTAAGTTATTACAACCTAAAGGTATCTTCTCAAAGAGCCCTAAGAAGAACATCTTTCCTCTTAGGATCCAAACAAATCACATTTTAAAACATCCAAATTTGTGAATTTTGTCTCCACCTCTCACTAGCTGTGTGGTCTTTGGAAAATTACTAAGCCTGTGTTTGATCTGTACCTTCATTTTCTCTTCTACAAAATGGGAATAATAATGGTTCCCAACTCTGCCACTGTTTTGAGGATTTTAAAAGATACACACACACATATTTAGAGGAGTGATTGGTGCTGATCTATATGACTTTTTGCAATGGCCAGTCAGTCTTTGCTATTTTAGTAACAACTATTATAATTACTTTTTTAAAAATCTAAAGTATAGTTACCTAAGATGTTTGATTTTTAGGGCAAGGCAGTTTGACTTTCAGCCACAAGTCTTGGACCCCGAATACAAAGAAATGATGGATGTTAGGAAAATATTAGCATTACTGTTAGAATATAAAGTAGCCTTTATACAGCCATGGGTAACTGCAAAATGATTTCACATGCATAACATCCTTTAATTCTAATTCACTACTTTAATCTCTAGAAGGGAGCTCACAGATGTCCATTATCCCCAAAGGAATAAAAAAACTTACTGTCAGGCCATGAGGGCAATATTAAATGATTTAGAAATTTGAATATAAATTTTCCAACTGGCCTGTAAAATCAACCAAATCACAAACCACCATCTTTTAAGAAAATGTTTCAATAATTTTTTTATTTAATGATCAAAATATTTCAGGCTATCTAAATATTTATACCTATAGTCATAAGCATCACAAATTTGAGAAAGGAAACATTTAACAATATGCCACAGCATAGCAGTGCCCAACATAGAGTAAATATTTAATAACTATTGGCTGTTATTATAAGTATGATTATGATTAGACCATCTTTCTAGTTGGATACAGAGATCTCCAAAATGAGAGATTTTATGTCGGTCATGGGTTGCAGTGTGGTGCCTGGCATACAGGAGCATCTTGGTAGAGGAAAGAATGACTTTCTCTGATTCTAAATAGTTTGGAAACCATGACATAAACTAGCAGATACCCTAATAATCCTCCAGAATAGATTTTTTTCTCCTGACAACTTCCTAAAGTTCCTTTAGAACTATTGCTAAACCTTCTTTAAAAAGATTTTAAAATATTCTTAAAAAATAGATTCCACAACCTCCATGATGATATTAGTTCTAGTGCTTGATGAATCTTGGAATTAGTTTAACTTTCTTTATATCTAAGTTAAAGTTTTAAAATTAACATTTAAATTTACTTTAAAGTATTTTACCTTATTAATCATTCTATTTAAGGCTATTTTTCTACCATGGTTAAGAGCACAGAATTGAAATCGTCCCAACAAAGATCTAAATTACACTGTCATTTAACATTTTTATATAATTTTTCTTTCTTCTTGTTGGAATCATCAAAGAGCTCCTTCATTATGTTCTCTTTTTTTTTTCTGCACAAAACCTATGACTTTGGCAAAGCATGTAGGAGGATCAGCAGTAGCATAGCACTTATCCAGGGTGACTTCGTTTGTCTTGGCAAGTCTCAGCAGCAGTGAAGCAGAATATTCAGGGTGCCTTCTTAAAAATTCATACAAAAACCTAATTGATATTAAAGTTTTTATTTAGATTTTGTTGGACAAATGAGCAAGAAAAAAATCACATCACTAACCTCAAGAGTAACTCATATTCCAAAGGTCTGAATTGGACTAAACCCCATGCAGGAAGACTTGCTGGCTAAGGACTTAAGGTCCAGAGTTAAAGCTACATGGACTCAATTTCTGACTCTGCCACTTATTTTACTATATCACCTTAGGTAACATTAAAACTATCAGAGGCTTAGTTTCCTTCTCTGTAGAATGGAGATAATAGCACATCTCTCTCATAAGGTGGATTGTGAGAAATATATGACATAATCTAGACAAAGCACACACTGCCTGGTGCATATTAAATGGTTAGTGAATGTTATCTGTTATTTTACGTATATGTATACTATATTTTGACTTAAGCTACATCTCAAAAGGATTCTGATAGACAGATGGAGATCTAGTCTTAAATTTTTCTTTCTCTTCTCTGTATGAGTGAAATCTTGTAGGGAACATAATTTTATGAAATAGTTTAATGCATTGAACGCTATCATAATCCAACAATAAAAAAATACAAAGTTTGTCACCACACTTACTGACAATATATAATCATTTGCTTTGTAATTTAATTTCACGCCGTCTTGCTATACTACTGAATTTCTAGTCTTCTCAACCAAATATAAAACAACTGGTGGGCCAGCCTCAGTGGCTCAGCCTATATTCCCAGGTTTTGGGAGACCAAGGCGAGTGGATTGTTTGAGTCCACAGGTTCAAGACCCAGCAACTTGACGAAACCTTGTCTCTACAAAAAAATTAAAAATTAAGTGGACATGGTATGCACGCCTGAAGTTTCGGCTACTTGGAAAGCTGAGATGGAAGGATTACCGGAGCCCAGCAGGTTGACATTGGGGTGACCAAGAGTATGCATGCCACTGCACTCCAGCCTGGGCAACGGAGTGAGACTCCAACTCAAAAAAAAAAAAAAAAAACCTGGTGTCAGATTCCATACTTCTTTTTATATTTTTTCACCACCGTTGGATAGAAAGATAGATAGGTAGGTAAGTAGATAGATAGATAGATAGATAGATAGATAGATAGATAGCCAACCAATACATACTCACACATACATATTATAGATGTTCAAGAAATACTCTTTGAATGAATTATAAACATAATTTATATATACACAAACTATTTCTAAAAATATTTTTAGAAACATCCTTAAGAAGTGAGAAATATGGAACTTTTGCCATGAGCATATATTATTTTATGCAATGTTTTAAATTTATTAACTATTTCAAAAAATTCTTGAAGTCTGGGGAGGAATAGATGACAAAGCATTCTGGAAATTGTAGCAACTCCAAAGAAAAGCCTAGAGTATCTTCCAAAGTTGTACAGCCATGTAAAAGCTATGAAAGAATCATTGCTTATCTACTAACTTGTCCAGGAAGACATTTTTTACCTCAATGTAGTTTTTGCAAACTTCCTTATCCTCAACAAAGTCAGTAGTTAATGCAGGCAAATTAGCAGGCATGTCATCATTTTCCACCTCAGAGAGGCAGTGGGACTTTTCCAACAGAGGCTTATCACAGCATTCCTTCAGTTTAGAGGAGACTGAATCATGATTCACACATATACTTGACAAGGTCTGCCTATAAGCAAGTGGATGGAAATTGTTTAACATATATTGACATTACTACACTTCCTCCTCAGACCTTTATTATTTTGGAAGAACACATTCATTATATTTTAAGACTGTACACATCCCAGCACACCTTCTATGATGACACTTTCAGTTTGTTCCTAAACTAACAGCCACAGATCGGACTCCTAAAACATTCACACTTAATGAGAATAGACTCATCAGTAAGGTGCATGTAATCGTTATTTATTAATTATATATTTCTACTGTTGAAGCATTATGCTTTTTTCATTAAAACTCAGTGCTGTTCTTAAAGAGTCCCCTACAATTAAGCACAGGCATTTTGAAGCCAAATAACTAAAGTATAAGAGATTGTTTAAAAAGGAGTCAAGATCACAGTCATAGACTTTGCTAACATATATAAAATATCTGCCTTAAATTTTCCAGAAAACATCATAAGAGATTAAGATTATAGTATTTGATCATAGTTTCAATCTTTGAAGAAATGGAGAAAATGTTACAAGTTTGGAGGAAAAATATGTTATTTTTAACACAGAGTTAAATAAGGGAGGGAATATAGGTGGAAAAAATACATCATTTTTGAAAATCTTTTCAGGAAGTAGCCCTTGTCCAACTCTACCTAACTCTCAAAAAAATCTTAGAAATACACTGAAGAACTCAAATCACTCTATAAAAAAGATACCTGCACATATATGTTTATCACAGCATTGTTCACAATAGCAAGATCATGGAATCAACCATGCTGTCCAT